CAATGTGACAATATATATATATCTAAAGGCAGCAATCAACCCTAAGGCTTGATTTTCCCTTCTTTTTTCAATTGCATGGCGAGGCCATCATCGTTATCCCGTTGGGAAGCCCCTGAAACTGAAAACTCCATCTCAGTTTGTATGTTTGCCTTGGGCACTGGACCCTGATAATAAAGGGATTTAAAATGATAATAATAATAATAATAATAATAATAATAATAATAATAATAATAAATTCGACGCTGGTTTTCAAATTCCCAGATTTAAAAATCATTGAGAAAAGAAAAACAACCATGTGGTTGATCTAAATGAGGACAACCAAAGTCCGGTTTTCTTCTTTTTTTTTTCTTTTTTTCTTTTTTTTTTCTTTTTGGACCATTTCTCGATTTATGCGTGTCATCCTTGCGCAGGGGCCATGCTAATCTTCTCTGTATCGTTCCAATTTTAACGGATGTCCCGAAGGACGTTTTCTTCTTTTTTACTGAACATGCTGAAATCAGCACCTAAGTGGCGTAGTAACTGTTCTTATTGTCTGCATCGATCCATCCAAGAGCGAGCATGGTTCATGGTTGCCTCCTCGCCTTTGCCCGGCCCCCCTCTCGTCGCCCACCGGGCCCCGGGCCCTCCCTTTTTCCCCACTCCAGACGTGTTCCAGTCATTTGTTCGGTTAACAAATGACTGGAACACGTCTGCAGTGGGAAAAAAAGGGAGGGCCCCGGCCCGGTGGGCGACGAGAAGTGGGGCCGGGCAGAGGCGAGCAGGCAACCACCATGCTCTTGGATGGATCAAGGAGGCTCCATGCTCTTGAGAGCATTCATGCACTAGGTAACAAGCAGTGCATACTCACACTTTGACTTTCCAGTGTCCCACACAACATATCTGCCACAAAGTGGACTGGGTCCCTAGTGTCCCAATGCGTGTCCCAATGCGTGTCCCAGTGTGAGTACAGCCATACTCACTTCACAGATTCAACGCCGGCATGTTGTTAAGAAACCACCAGTACTTGGCCCAGCTATCGGCTGTGGAAAAAAAATACAGTAGACACGTGTCTACTAGGACGAATCTGGGCGCTCCTGTAGTGACCCGTACGTTTCTAAAATCATGGCTTGTTAACGGGCACGACTTTTTAGCAAGCGCTGCCGTACGTTTCTAAAATCATGGCTTGTTAACGGGCACGACTTTTTAGCAAGCGCTGCCATGGTTTAACCTCAAACATATTCCCCTCCAACAATGGAGCAAGGGATAGCCATTGGTCTTCACCCCTCACCTTCTGGTCAACTACATGCAGTTCAAAAAGTCAGAGACCTTATGCAAGGACGGGGATGCTTAGGGCATGAGGGCATCTTCGTCAATTCTACACCCTTGACTTCCCGTCTTCGTAGTCGTTGACTGCGCGTCGACTATGGTCTAGGTTGACTGTGTTGACCTCGGTCTACGAGGACTGCATTGACTACAGTCTAGGTTGAACTGCGTTGACTATAGTCTACATTGACTGCGTTGACCACGTTGACTAGGGTCTAGGTTGACTACGTTGACCACGTTGACTAGGGTCTAGGTTGACTACGTTGACTACGGTCGATGTTGACTGCATTGACTACAGTCTAGGTTGAACTGCATTGACTGTAGTCTTCGTTGACTATGTTGACTGCGTTGACTGCATTGCCTGCATTGCCTGCATTGACCATGTTGACTATGGTCTAGGTTGACTACGTTGACTACGGTCAATGTTGACTGCATTGACTACAGTCTAGGTTGACTAGGGTCTAGGTTGAGTACATGGACTACAGTCAACGTTGAATTGACTGATTTTGTTTTAAGAAGGAGAAACTAATGCATCTGGAAAAAAAAAGGATTAATTTCAATTAAAATGCCGGCTAAAAGACACTGCGCCCTTCTTTATTGTCAATTCAATGGGAGGCTGGACCCGGTGTACGGCAGGTGCAGCTTCCCACAAATAGAATGGATCCATCTGATTAAAAAAGAAAAAAACTGGAGCAGGCCTGAGACAACCCGATAATGGCAATATCTTGCCTCTACCAATACGAAGCATGGCACTAAGTTCCCATGCGCCCTGACAGAAACGCAGGCATCATGAGCAGACCAGCCCCCTTAGTAGTAAAATTAATAAATTATTAATTGAATGAACAATTCAAAGGGCAGAGCTGCCTTCAACAGTTCCGCTGCCGCCCCCCCCCTCCGAGTTCCCTGGCCCGTTTCCGCCACATGGCCTTTCAATGGCGGACCCTCAGTTGTATGGAGCAGAGTGAGTGCGGGTTTTGGACAGGGGGGGGTATTGTAGTCAGAATAGCTGATCGACAGGATGGCTGCATCTGAAAGGGAGAGTAGGGGCCAGTTGATCACAAGGTTCAGGCGCCCAGCAGCAGGACTGAAGAGGCCCCCTTTTCTTCCTCCGATGTGGGGTATTCTGTTTCCTGCTCAGTCAATCCCCTGGTCTCAGGGCAATCAATGCTGGCAGGTACGTTGGCAACAGCTCAAATGGATCTTAATGACTTTTGTGTAGGGGATGCTGGACCCGTTTTCCAGCAGGCGATGCTCCTCACCAATAGATGGAGCCTTCCTGGGCGAGACAGGGGCATCCGTTCATAACAGTGCCCCTAGCTCTTGCAATGGCAGTTTTCAACAAAAAAAAAAACAAAGAAAACAATGCAAAAGGCACTTCTATCAAACTGTACATAACTTTAGGCACATCTTGAAGGTGGTTGTGATGCAGAAAAAGCAATCGAGAACAAACTGTAGCAAACACAGACAGTGAGAGCATTATCAGGGAACCAAGAACAAAGCTGTAGTATTACATGTGTGTGTGTGTGTGTGTGTGTGTGTGTGTGTGTGTGAGAGAGAGAGAGAGAGAGAGAGAGAGAGAGAGAGAGAGAGAGAGAGAGAGAG